TTGCAGCAACATTGTCTACACCAAGAGAGTGTTAATTAACAAACACTTATTGTGTAAAATATCTGTTAAATTTCCGAAAAAATACCAGCAGCTGTGGTTGCCAGAATCTTTCTGTGAAAAACATGGAAGTTTTATATAACTGTATAAATTTACAAAAATTAACCATATTTCATGAACTAACACATTGTTTATTTTTCAAAATTATAGCTTAGTGCACAAAAATGTAAAGTCTTTAGATGCAATAATGTTTTCATGTGTGATTGCAATTAGCAAACAGATTTTGACTGCATTAGTAACTACACAGTTACCTTTAAACAAAAGAAGATGCATCATAACATCAAATTTTCTCAGTTCATCTTGGACTTGAACAGAGACGCTATTATCCTCCACAATGGTGACACAAAAACCGTTTTGCTCTTTTTCTTTCCTTTTTTTTCATTTTTAGATCTTACGGAAAAATACCAGCAGCTGTGGTTGCCAGTAATCTGCTGTTTTTAACATTCATAAATTCAGTTTACAGAATATTTCTGTTAAAAGCACATTCAACAGTCTGTATTTTTTATCGATCTCACACTGCAAATTTTAGATTTGGTAGATTTAACTACCTTAGAGTTAAAATTAACACTCCCTCAGTGTTTATATGGGAACCATTATAAGTGTTAAAATAACATTTTTGAAAGTGTTAAAATTTTTAACACCCAGAGTGTTAATTAGCAAACTCTTATTGTGTAAAATATCTGTTAAATGTATGTCAAAATACTGGCAGCAGTGGTTGCCAGAAATCTGCTGTTTTCAACATTTTACATTCGTAAATTCAGTTTCCAGAATATTTCTGTTAAAAATACATCCCATAGTCTGTATTTTTCATTCGAACACACTTAAGCCTTAAATTCCACCGCAAAATCCTAACTAGTGTCCTCACTACAGAGGGCTGAACACACAGACAGTGATGAAGTTAATGAGACAATTAAGTGTCTAATTAAAGGAGGATTGAGAATTGTTGATGAACAACTGTTAACAAGCAGAATCACTGAAGGACAGAAAAACACAAGCCAAAACTAAAGATGAAATCAACTGAGAAAAACTCTAAATAAAATAATAATCAATAAAAATAAAACAAATTACACAATAAAAAATGTTATTTTTCAACATCTTTAAAAAAAACTCATCAAATAAACAACTTATCATGGAGCTTCACCTATTACTGACCTTTGATTTTATTTCTGTCATGTGAACAAAAGCTCTTAATAAAATTTCCGTTGTTCATTTGAAGTCACCATGATGGAGGACAGAGTCTGCTTTAGTCAAGCTCTTCAACTTCTTGCTATAAATGTCTTATATTTTGGCTGCAATAGATAGTGTTAATTACACTATTTATACATATAGCATGGAAAGCCAAAAAAAAATTAAAGTGTCAGTCTGGAGAGATTATTTATGATAACATAGCCATCCTTTCCTGCTTGTTTTTTTAATTCAATATCATATGAGTTATGTGTAAGAAATAAATAATATACATAAATGAAACCACTGAAGCTCCAATAAAATAAAAACAATATTTACAATGAGAATGTTTGATCTATGGCAGAACTCAAAAACACCCAGACATCAATAATTAGTCTTTGATTCTCAATGATGGTGACAAACAAAAAAATAAAAATCAAGCTAAAAAAAAAAAACACTACTGAAATATCACCTCCCAAAAACAACACAAACTAAAGGAAAAGAAAGAGATTGTAAGAACATAAAGCTGCATAATTTATTCATGCTGCAATGCATGCTGGGAGCTTTGTACTATGCTGGCACCCAGCATGCATTGCGGCATGAACTATGCGGCTTTTTTTTTTTAGCAACCACGGTTGAGGTTCATGTCCTGATTCTTGATGCCTGTGTGTCATAAAGAGCAAGCTGGAGCTTGAATGTTTAGTGCATGACACTCTAATTATTAATTGCATCCTAATTGTTTGTTGAATTTTCTATGAAGAGCAGCAGACTGCCAGAAGTATTGACCCATGCAGTTTTAATACAATTATATTTGCATATCTTTATGAATCAACTTAATAAAAACCGGAAATTAACTCTATAACAATTAAGCATAAACAGTATAGTTTCTCTTGACCTTTCTTGCTATAGCTGATGAGTTTTAGAAACACAGCTATAACAGTCAGAGGAACATTAGGATATAAGAGTAAAGCTTCAAGATCTCAAATAAGCAGCCTCTGATCTCTATGATGGTGAGGTCAAATGAAATATTTTAATAAAAAAATATAAAACTCTGTTCATTGTCAAATATTCTTACAGAAATGAAGTCAAACTGTAATCAGTGAAGCTGCTTATGCTATTATTTAATGGAGTTGTTTAACCCTCTGTTTTAATTCAGTTGGTTTGGTGTGAGGCTGTGTCTGTAGTTTTATTTCTTCCTTCAATTTCTTATTCATTCAGTGATTGTGCTTGTTAACAGCAGGTGTTCAACAGCAGGTGTCTGAATTCACTTATTTGTGGTCATTCCCTCTGTCTAGTGGACTAAACTAATTGATCAATTTAAGGGCCAGGTGAATGAGGGTGTGGCGAGATTTCAGACACTCTGATTAGTTTCTCAAATACAAGGGTTTTCTACAAAGGTAGATACATGTTACTCTGTGTGACAAGGAGGCAAATCAGCTTCTAACGCTGAGAGGGTTGTTTTACCTTTATCTAACTCTAGAATTTTAACACTTAACTCTGAATTACCACAACACTTGAAATTTAACACCAATGAATTTGCTGTGTATACAGAACCCAAAATGGTTCTTTCAAACGCTTCATATATGGAACCCCAAAAGATTAAAAATAGAACCATTTAAGGGTTCATTAAATAGATCCCCAAATGGTTCTTTGAATTCAAGTTACATGGTTCTATTTAGAACCATTTGAGGGTTCTTTATTTATTATTGAATAAAAAATAAAACCAATGCAGAAAATTCAAATTGTTTAAATTTATTCAATTTACTTCACAAAATAAGTTTTAAATAATATTTAAAATTGCACCTCTGCGTACTTTGTATAAGATCTACCTCTAAACATTATACATTTTTACTATTTAATTAGTAAACATAATTAACAGCTTAATGGCATTCAACAATCTAATTCTAATTATTTTACTTTTTATTAAACATTTGTAAGCTTGCTTACTGATTGAACAAATACAAAACTTAACTTTCAAACATTTCTAAAATGATTAAAAATGTATTACAATGCAGATAGAAACAATACACAAACATCTATTAAATAACACTACAATTTCAACAAGTTGACGGTACATGTATGTACTGGTCATGGCAACATCCATTTTTATACATAATTTTCAATAAAAGTTATTGAAGAAAGTGCTTAATCGCACACAAAACTTTGCAAAATGATTAGACAAAACATTGAGAACAGCCATTCCACAACCTGTAGCATGTCCATGTTTGCCGGCCTCTCTTATAACGTAAATAGTTTTGTCCATGGGTGGCACAGTGGCTCACTGGTTAGAACTGTCACATCACAGCAAGAAGGTCACTGGTTCGAGTCCTGACTGGGTCAGTTGGTGTTTCTGTGTGAAGTTTGCAAGTTCTCCCAGTGTTTGTGTGGGTTTCCTCTGGGTGCTCCAGTTGCCCCCACAGTCCAAAGGCATGCGTACGGTATTGGTGAATTGGCCATAGTAAGTAAATGTGTGCAGGTGTATGAGAGAGTGTATGGGTGTTTCCCAGTGCTGGGTTGCGGCTGGAAAGTGAAGCGTAATTGCTAATTCATTCTACTGTGGTGCCTCTGATAAATGAGGGAGCCGAAGGATAGTGAGCGAGTGTTGGCCATCGTAATGCTGACACTTCAAGCCTTGACAGAATCAGGAGAGCTGTTAGGATCTTTGGATTTCTGTAAAACAATATTTCAATGCTGAGTACTTCCTTCTTTCCTGCCCTTCTATTGGGCCATTTCTTTTAAAGATGTTTCTGTGTCCTTCACTAAGTCCTTATATGCAGCATCCTAAATTAAAACATTTTGTTTACTTTGTGTAAGTGACACATTTTCAGCAATACAAGTACTTTAAAGTCATCAAAAATACAGAAATACAGTGTAGACAGCTGTAATATATTTTCTGTTTAAAAAAATATAAGTTTTTCTGTTTTTTAATCTGCATCTCATTTGTTACAGAATTTAATGAAATTGACATTTCTGAGTGACCTCAATTTAGTATGAACATTAAATAAAACAATAAAATTAGAATAAGAACAAAACAAAATAATTGTTTATCAAATAACATACATCATATTTGGCAGATACTTTTATCCAAAGGGACGTAGATTGTGTTTATTCTATACATTTATTAATATGTGAGACCTGGAACACATTTGGCATTGCTAATGCATTGCTTTACCAAATGAGCTTTAAAATGTCATATACACAGATTTTTCATATCTATTTGGCACACAATGTAACATTGTTTGGTTACTTACAAGCTGTGGCACTCCAAGAAGAAGAAACTTCTCCATTAGTTTTGCAGACCCCTCCATAATCTGTACTCTGGAAAATAGTGTGTTTCATTTGGTTCTTGACTTATTCGTAAACGATGTCGCATTCTAGGTCCATCACAATCTGAGGTAGGAAGACAGCATTTGTAGAATGTGTAAATATGAATTTAAATCACAGAATTAATCTTGACATTAAATGTATTGAAATGAACTTGCCTTGTGTTAAGTCCCTCAGAGTCCAGTTCACTTCCTTTTGATCCCATCACTGAAATCCTTTCATTTTTACATTTGTTTTGAAGACATTGCAACAAGGAATCCTGTAGGCAAATTTACACCTTTCAATACATATTTCTTCTCTGCAGGACTTTTTTTAAGCAACGACCTTAATATTCTCACTGTATTAAAACAGCAGTAGTAAGTAATAGAATATTTTTTTGATAAATATAATTTTTCAGTACACAACAACCAACAAGTCTGAATTATGCATGTTATAAAATACAATACTTTACCGGGTGTGCTTGAAGATGATGTCAAACAATTATGGATGTGACACATATTTTTCTTTAAGCTGGGATCCTTCTTCTTCAAAGCTACTTGTGTGCAGCAGATCAAATTTGGAAACTTAATATGGGTCCCATGACACTTTTCTGTAATGATAAATACAATCTTGAAGTCTTTTATAATATTTATTTCATTTTACTGACCACAATACAGTTTGTTTGGATTTTAAAACAATGATACATACCAAGCACAAGTTTTATGAAGCAGTTCAGTTTCCAGGCTGTTTGAAGAAAAATAAAATATACATTAAAATATTTATTTTAAACTTATTTTGCACTATATATATATATATATATATATATATATATATATATATATATATATATATATATATATATATATATAATTTCACAATACATTTAGTCTGCATTTTTGTCTTTGATAAATAAGACCTGATCTTTCATCTATGGATTGTTAAAATATGTTTGGCTTTTTAAAGGTTTCAATAATGTTTAGGGGCTGACTGGCCATAGGGAGAACTTGCCACCGTGACTGGCCTCCCGCGCGTGCACAGACTCGGGGCACGAATCTGCCTGTGCGTGCACGAGCGGTGCACTGCTATCTTGCGGTTTTATGCAGACTAGCGGGAACGTCTCAAAAGCGGGCAGTAATGTCCACTTCTTTGCAGAGTTTAGCTCAATCACTGATAAAACACACACGAACCAAGCTAAAAGTGAGCGTTTGTTCAAGGTTGGAGCTAAAAACAACACGAAAAACACAATGAAATCGGCACAAATCTAGTTAATTTTAAAGTAACATGCACATGCTTCATTCACGCTCTCTCAAAGCTCACCTTCAAATAACACAGCTGTGTACTGTTATCGGTAATTTAATTAGTAGTACTGACAAACAAGTATAGCGATATTGAAACTTATTTCGAATAAAAAGCAGAACAAATTCAACTTAACAGATTTCTGAACCGAAGGGTGACGACCGAGGTCATCGCAAGCACAGTGTTTATCCATATTAACGCTAAAGTTGCCCCCATTCAATCTGTATCACCATATAACACGAGGGATTTTCTATCAAATAGAAACCTTACTTCATAATACAAAATATTTCACTATATATATTAAATGTACTAACATACCTGAATGATGAAGCTGAAATAGTGGAGTTCTCCTTTCGAAAAATTAACCTTCTCTCGAGGCTCTTCACCACCTGTCCATGACGATGTCCTTGTCAATGACTGACGTCACCAGAGGGCTTTTTTATGATTATTAGTTTCAAATAAATTATTTAACCATAACAACATGTTACTGCACAGTCTAAATAAATTGGTTATTTTATTTATTACACAAAATAATTTGTCAAAAATGTTAAACATAAACTAGGCCTATAAGTTATATGCTATTGTACAAACCTGCATAAAAAAATCCCATCACACTGTACACTGATTAAGTTTTTGACGACAGCATTCATTTTATTAGGTTTTGACTCAAAAAGCTTTGTCTCTCTGTGTTATAACTTATAATTATTTCATAATCTTTACTAAATAATTATGTTATGATTCAAAAATTATAGAACCGTTTTAATCAAAAAGGTTCTTTGCAGTCAAAGGGTTCTAAATGGAACCATTTTTTGGGTAAAAGGTTCTACTGGCCAAGTATAGAACCCCAAGGTTCTATATAGAACCTCAAGGAACCTTTTTTTTTAAGAGTGTGTGTGTGTGTGTGTGTGTGTGTGTGTGTGTGTGTGTGTGTGTGTGTGTAAATATTAATAATTGAATATTAGAACTTCAGTAATGTAAATAAATAACTTTAAAGAATAATGTACATATGTAAATACAAACGACCAAACATTTGCTCTCTAGTAATGTAAATATCTAAATATAAATAACTTTAAACAATTGCACATGTGTAAATTTAAATAAATTTGATGAATTGGTAAACATTCTGTACAGTGATGTGTAGATATAACATTAAACAATCTTTAAATTAAAACTGTGCGTGTGTGTGCACGTGTTTGTGTGCATGTGTGTGTTTTGTTTACATCTGTGGGCATCTTGGAAGGTAAAAGTAAAAAAATAAAAGTTCAGCTTTTTCCCGAATGGTATGAAACATTCTGATGTCTTTGTAAATGCGTTAAATCATCATGTCATCTTTTGCATGAATGATGAAGTCACACCAGTCCAAACCTGAAATGAGCATTTGTCCTGGGACTTGCCAGTAGTAGGCATGTTGCTGTTTCAGTTCTGGTGTGCCATTGTGAAATTTGAGGTAAAAACAGTCATTAAAACTTTTGACGTTGGGACATTTTATTTATAAAAGGCCTAAAACAAGGTGCTCGTTGTGGTCAAAAATGATTCCATCTGGAGAGGACCCCAGCCAAGGAGCATCAGGGTGAATTAAAAATCCACATGGCTGGTAATTTACCTCTCGCAGGAAGCAGTACTCCATAACTGCTTGAGACTCCATTTGAAGTCCTCGCTTCATGTCGGCTGTCTGGCGAGTTATTTTGTGCATTCTTTAGGCCGGGTGTTCAGCTGAGGTATGGCCGTGCACATGACAGACATCTTACTGAAGCGTGACGACGTTATCCGGATTTTCCTAACAGAATGCCAATCAAGGCATGCACTCTGATATCTGGTGGCTTGCTCAACATAGTGAGCCATTTCTGAAGTTACGGTAAATGACCTCATGTGAAGTTGTTCCTGATTATTATGAACAAGCAAGTAGACAGGTGGCTGTAACCATCTAGTGGCAGTGGTGGTGTTGGTGGGGCATCACGATGAGGAACAATGTTGCGCTTTGTTGCTGTTGGTATGACAGGACACTTCCAACTTGAATTATTCCGAAGGCAGAATCCACCCGAAAATCCTCACTCGACATCCCAATTGTGGTGACCAACGGGGCTGTAGAACTGGCAAAGTCTTTGTAAATTTCTGCCACTTGAAGGACTGAAAGATCAGACAGCTCACTGGTGAAACCTTTATAAAGTGTACTCCTTAAATGGAACAAAAGACTTAATCAAAATTTAATTACTTAGTTCTAAATTTGTTGTCCTATTCACATTTTATGTAAAACCATATTCATCTTCTTGAGTTGATTTTAAAGTATTTTATAAAGCTGTTGTGGTGTCTTTTACAAGAATGGATAATTACCCCATTGTGATGCAGTCACATATCTGTAATATTTAAGAATAATATTGCGTTAAAGAAACAGATCTCATAGAGCAGGGCTATTTTAAATCATTGGTTTGACAAACATACATGTAAAATAGAATTGAAAATAGAATTTACAAGTGTCCCACCTTAATCCTTCAGCAAGTTTCCTCTCTTTGCGCCTCGCAGACAAAATCACCATGTTATTGACTGGACCTGGCTCGACTCCCTAGGGATACACAAGGGGCTCGTTAATAATAACAATAATAATAAAAAAATAATATGAGTATTAAACGCCAATACTGTTGTTCTAATATTATTATTATTATAGGACAATTAAGCCATTTCTGACCACTGTCCTGATTAATTACTGCTCAAAAAAAAAAAAAAAAAAAATTATATATATATATATATATATATATATATATATATATATATATATATATATATATATATATATATATATATATATATATATAATTTTATAATGAAATTGTTCATGATTAAACTCTTACTTGTTTGTGCATTTCTCTAGCTCTTCTTGAAGCTTTTGATTTTGTGTCTTCATTGATCTATATTTTCTTGAAGAAGAAGAGTTACTACTTCATCTTTGCTGTCAGAAAATCTGTGATCTCTGTCATGTGTGTTTTTTTTTTTTTTTTTGGGAGGACCCATTTCAAAAAGTGGGGCCTCTCTCTTCTTCTCTGTCTTCTAGAATTTTTAGAAGGGTTTTTCTTTTTTCTGAGGCTTCAGCAGTCCTTAGTGTTTTCTACAAATCATTGATAGAAATGTAATTAATGAACTGTACAGAATTCTAAAAAATCACCAGCTTTCTTTTTTAAAATAAATGTTTTATTGTCAAATATATAAAGGTAGAGGGAAACCTCATGGGGAAAAGACATACAAGTTTGGAACCATGCTAAGCAAGATTAGACATTAGAAGACTTTTTTAATACTTGATAATTGTATAATATATTCTAATCAATGCTTTTACCAAAAGTTTTAATTCTTTAAATTGCTAGCAATTCATGATAATGGATCAATGACTTATATGGTCAAACACATGAAAGTTCATAGTTCACGGTATGAGGTAATTAATGTCGTAAAACTATTTAAAATATAAAAAAACATTATTCGTACAATTAGAATTAAAACTCTGTATACTAACTGTCGTGCGTGCACGCAAAGTGTTAAACCAATTAGAGACGTGACTACTTAAAATGACTCCATAGTCTGATTCATTGTCAGATAGATAACAAACTGGAGTGATTTGAGTGATTATTATGAACTGCCAGTGATTCATTTGACAAGCGGAAGTTTCAGTAAGAAGACGAATACCACACCAATCTATGAGGTAACATTCAGAGGTTTAGAATAAGATTTTTATAAATACGTTACGTTTTTCTCTTTCAGTGCTCCTTTTTCTTTTTCAGTTCCAATCTCGTCCTATTCTTCATCCTGGTTGAGGATTTTTGCTGTCCTTATCCGCTTGTACGGGTTAGCTAATTCCTCCTCCATCTCTTCAGAGGTTTCTGGAAGGTACATTAAGTAAGTTAACAATATGATGTTAACAGGTATAAATTGTTAGGTCTGGGTATATTACGTTAGCAATGTGCTAGTAATTACTAATATGATCTCGACTTTAAAATAAGCATTTGTTTTGATGTTACAAAGCAATTTACTGATTTAACGTTAAAACAGAGCAGTAATTAGAGCACTTTAACAATAAAATAACTTAAGAAAAGTACTTTACCTTCAGAAGACGGTTGGTGACAGTTGACTGACAAGCATTCGAATCGGCGACGTGAAGCGATTCAGTTCTCAATGATTCAAATCTTTTTTCTGAATGATTAATTTTACCATTTATAATGCAAATCACACTGTTATGCCACTAGGTGGCAAAAACAAGCGTCTTTTTAAGTGTGATAGACTATCTGTATGAACCTGTAAAGCCGATTTATTAAAACACAACTATTCCACAAACAATGAATTTATTTTCTTATAGAAAAAAGTCTATAAAGAATGTTTGTTTTAATGTGTCTACTCAAGTGCATTTTGCCAAATAATACACCCACACACATATATTAGTCATTATTAACTTAAAATATTGTAATTATTATACTTGTATAACATAGACCAATACAATATTGGAAGCAGTGTCTGATTTTGCTTTTATATCTTATTTTTAAATGTTTAATAAATGTTTATAATAATTTACTAATTAAATTTACTCTAACATTGCAGAAAACACATTATGTTTACCAATCACACTAAGACTAACCCCAACCCACTTCTTTTTAAAGGATAAAAATGAACTACAGAGTGTACTTAAACGAAGAGGCACCAGTTCCAGTTGCCACAAAAATGGCAATGGACACATAATAAAATAGATTGCTCAGGTCAAAAAGATGGAGAATCAGGGATAACAGCAACAAACATTTTAAAAGAAAGAGAGAGACATTCTGTTGAACTCATAACATGAGTTACATAAACATCGTTTAACATGTGTCTACATCAGGTCTTGCAGTTTTTTGTTTTTTTTTTGCATCCAGCCAAACAGATGAGAGATTGACATTTTTAATAAATGAAAAAAAAAAAAACTATAGAAATGAAATGTAAAAGTGTACAGCTTGTTTGTTTGCATAACTTGAATGGTTTAATGTAATGGTTGATTTTTATAATTGCCTATAATCTATTCGTATACTTAAATTTATTTATGCTTTTATTTTCTTATTTTTTGCTTGTTTGTTGTATTGCTTATCTGTTAGAACTCATATTGTATTGCTATCAACAACAAGTGACAGAATTTCTTTCTGTCATTCCAATCACAACAAATAACTAATGCAAGTCCTGCAGGAATTATAAAATCCTGCAGGATTTGTCACTTGCTTGGATCCATTGTAAAGCCTGTAAGAAATTCCTGCACATATCGTCAATGTGTCCTACAGGACTTTATAATTCCTGCAGGACAGCAGCTTTCCTGTAGGGAAAAAAATATCCTTCAGGATTCCTG